TATATTATATTATATTATTATATTATTATATTTTGATGAATGACTAACAAACATTGTATTCTTTATATGCGCTGATGAATTGCACATAATGAAACCAGGGACATTTATAGGAGAGTAATTAGAGTCCACTTTTATTTCAGGTTTTCTTTTGTACTCCAGGCGGATATTACAACAAAATGAGGGAAATTGTAATAGAATAATACACCATAAAAGAATTCCTGACTACCATGGCCAACCCTGAACTTAAACTCCTGACTGTTTACAGACTCAGCAAACATAGCATATAGACACAAAGAAAGCCAGACGCAGACAGTCCTCGCTGCTGAAGGAGCACACGCTGTGCTCCTGCTGCACATAAAATGAGATGGAAACACAACTGCACTTTTGAACCTCACGCACTACACATAAATCAGCAACATATTCCATCCTCCTTATGCAAACCACTATAAAGAGCATCTATTGTGCATGTATGTGTAATGTTTACTAATGCTTTGTCAACGTAAACCAGTTTATCATGTTTATAAAGTGCATTTTAATCTTGAATCTTGAGAGGAGAGAATATATACATAAAACAAAAATCTGATATATAGAATTTACAATACAATGTAGATCATTTAATACATGTAATCACTTTATACAGTGCTGGGTATTAAGTGATTACATGTAATCTGGATAACATAATCAGATAAAAAAAAATGAAGTACCTGTAATTCGGTTATAATACATTTTAAAATGCTGATAATCAGATTACTTTTTTTTATAGATAACATGATTACATATTATTCACACAATGGCAGTATTATTCATAATTTGAATCAGCCTAATTATTTTTTTTCCCATCTCTCCCTTAAATTTTCCTTTCTAAAATGTTATCGCTTTTATACATTTGGAAAGTCTTCCAGCATTTCACTAACTCACAAACCCTATAGAGAGATAATTTCTCAGTTATGTTTTTAATTTCTTTCTGTTCTCTTTTGCGTTGATTGTCCTGTTCCTACAGGCTGAGCTACAGAAGATGAGGCAACAGGCTCAGGAGACGAAGCAGTTCATTGAGAAACAGGAGGCAGAAGAACGCAAGCTGCTGAAGATCATAGCAGAGGCTGATGCTGAGAAGATCTGGCAGAAAAAAGAGCTTGATCAGGTACAGACAGGTGGAAGGTTTCAGGGAGTGTCTGCATGTCCTTGTGTTCCTTCTTCAATGGGCTGTTTCCGCTAACTATGAAAGAGACAGTAATCTAGGTTCACTCAAAAGTCATTAGATCTGGAATCTCACTTCTGAGGAAGTCCAGCGGGAACAGGGTCAACCTCTCTTTAAAATAGCAAAAGGAAATTGAGTCACTGGGGAGGCCTACATTGGTCTTGGCATTTTGAAACATTTAGCGCTATATATTGTAGCGGATTAATATATATATATATATATATATATATTTATACAGACAGCAACCTGAATATGCATCTTACGATGAACATATTTTCAGTTACTCATTTAAAGTTTTGTTTTATATTCTTTGGGGAGGCTTAAGGTCTAAAATGTCTAGGTGATGTCTGGAGAATGTTTTTAAGGAAAAAAGCTTAATTAAAAGCTAAAATTCCTTTAAAAATATATATAGAATTTTGCCATAATCTTTTATTAATATATCTTTTAAAAAAGTAGTGAAGTTGTTTTGTTTTATATAAACAATATTTTAGAAAATGTTGACGTTATCTTTGTGTATCAAAGTCAGAAGTGTTTTTAAAGTTTACCTTTTCATGACATGACAATATTAATTCAGGTTTCTGATAAATACATTCAGTCAACAACCCCATTAAAACATCATGGTATTCAAGATTTAAAAATTATAATTATTTGTACTAAATAGTTTTTACCTAGAAAATGTATTTAATATTGTGTATTTTTTCACTTATTTGATTAAAATATATACACTCACATAGACTCAAGGCATAGAGAAAATATGCTATTACTTTTTACATTTTTTTTTACATAGTTTTTATGGAAAAAGCTGCATAACTACATTTTTAACAAATTCAGTAATATGATATTTTACAGTATCTTTGATAAGTCAGTTGGGTCACTATTAGAGATCATAAAGTGAATGTAATGTTAATATCTGCTGCTGTACATTGCTGACATTGGTTCTTTGGTAAAGGTTAACCCATTCAAAGGGCATTCTGTCCAAATTGCCTCTGCTGACACCAGTTTCCACACTCTTCTGGCTATCCACGCACATTAATAAAGCTTCATCGTCTGTACATCCCTGAGCTCTCCAAACCATATTGTATACTGTCTGTCATGCAACAACTACCATGCACATACCATACAATACACATATAGCTGTACATTTCTGCATTGCAGAATTTTGTGCATACGGTGTAGTTTAGTGAAAGTTCAGAAAGAATGTCAATTTACCATTTTACATAACATCCTTTTAGTATATATGGTGTGTAGAGTAACACACACACACACAAATATATTGTATATGGCCTTCCAGTTTTCCCCCCCAACGTTTTATTGAAATCCATTGAAGTAACACCTCTAAGTAAAAGACCCTAAAACTTCTTTATAAGACATTTTCCCAAACCTTCACAACATTTGTCAAATTGCATGAAGTTTTTTGCTATTATCCTGAAAAGACCAGCATTGCTGAGTCATCAAATCTTTGCAGAAAACACTGGCCTGTATGAGGGGCCGTACAAGCCATAATTCATTCTGGCGCTCTCACACACTTACTTTCTCCTTTCGCATACCTATATTTCTACTCTCACGCACATACATTGTCCTTTGATATTCATATATTTACTCTCACACACATACATTCTTGTTTCACATACATATGTTTCTGCTTACATATATATGAACTTTACTTTTCAGCACATACATGCATTCTGACTTTCATGCACTTATGCATTCGTTATTCTTACATGCCTACATTATAACTCACATACATATATTGTCACTTTCACATGTATATATACTTCACACTCATATGCATGCATGTCTCATCTTTTTTTTCCTTTTTTTTTTTTTGTTATCCATTACTTCCTCTTTAAACAGGAACTCACTCTCAAACCAGGAAATACATATGGAATACCTGCTCAGCTCATCCTAACACAACAATACAATTATGCTATTCAAAGTCATCCTGTTTTCTTTTCAAGTACAGTTTTAAAATTTTTTAATTTACATTTTATTTTTATAATGTTAAATGATTTAAATTTTTAATTCTGTTATTTATAATATTAAATGTATACTTTGAATACATTTGCATAAGAGCAAAATGTATAAATGTGTGCGTAAATACCTATGAATATAAGAGGAAAATGTATGAATGTGTGCACTAAAATATGTGACTATGAGAGCAAAAATGTATGTATGTGAAAGGTGAATGTAAGTGTGTGAGAATATAAATATATGTAGGTGAAAAGAGTATATAAGTGTGTGAGAGCACCAGAATGAATTAATGCTTGTACGGCCCTTCATAGGCCTGCTTTTTATTATTATAATATATCATCTCACCTCAGTCAGAAGTGAAAGTACTTCTGATGGTTTTCTCACAGATGCTTGAAGAGGTGTTAAAAGTACCAGAAATTCAGTACCAAGCTGGTATAAAATAAAAGGAATGGATGTATTAGCTAATATCACTGGTTTTTGCATTGACTACTGCTATACTTTTTTAGTATGTTGTCTTTTATCTACATTTGTGTATTGATTGCACATATGTTTATGTGTTCATTTACAAGGTGAGAAATGAGCGTGACCTCCTGGGGATGCAGTTGATGAAGAGAAACGAGGCACTGGCATTACTGTACGAAAAGATCAAAATCCAGCAGTCCATCATGAACAAGGGTGATATTCAGTACAATGAAAGACTGGAGGATGTCAGACTCTTGAAGCTAGAGATCAAGAAGCAAAGACGAGAAAAGAACATCCTCAACAAGACCGTCTCTAATGTGGAGGGCCTCAGGTAACACACGGGGGGTGTAGTTGCTGCAGTTTGTAATTTAAGAACATCCTCAACAAGACCGTCTCTAATGTGGAGGACCTCAGGTAACACACGGGGGGTGTAGTTGCTGCAGTATGTAATTCCTTTGCAAAGAATCTGTCCGCATATGGAAGTGTTTCGGTTTGACTTTGCACACTAAGAGTAGGGTTAGAGCAGTTTCACACTAAAGCATGCTTGACGTCAGAGGTCGATTCGCTTGGTTGGTGTGAAAGCTGTTTACGGTTCATGTGGACTGTAATATGCTGGTGTTATGAAAGTAATTTGGCTTAATGTTGTGTAAGTGAATCACTTTTGAACCACTTTATGATTCACCATCATACTTATATACACCTATTAGTTTATTTTTTTAACATCTATTGCTCTATAGCATCATGGAAGCAGTTTGATCACTTTTCTGCAACTCTCATGTACTCTTTAGAGGTATAATGACATAATTATTGTGCCTCAATCACAGGTACATACAGCACAAAGAGACGGAGCTAATTGAGTGCTTGTCAGATAATGCTCGTCAGTATTATTGACCCCCCGCCAGATGTTTATTGATGTTTTCAAAAGCTGTAATTCACCACTCTCAATAACAGTCACTTTTTTCGGCCACAAAAGACGTGTGATAAAAATAACTTTTAATGGAGTTCTTGGCTGAGTGAAAAGGAGGTGACAACAGCTCACTGTGGAAAATGAGAGAATGCTTGAAAACACTGGCAGGTCTCACAACTAAAGTCAAACCAGATCTATATGGGTTTTACTAACCCTCTGTTGGTTATTTTAGTAACACGAGGGGTGGTGATGAACTCACATTCTCCTCCATCTCCCAAGCCAATGCAAAATCACTAAATATTCAGTGAGTCAGAGTCTGAATTATGTACTGAAATGTCCATCGGCCCAAAATTATTTAATTCATTTAACCAAAGGTTTTCTCCAGAGAGACAGCCACAGAAAGAAAGTTTCTTCTTCGTTTTTTGCTACATTTCAGAGATCTTTATCAACCACTTAAATGAGCAAAAATCTCTATATACATTCAAACGTTTAAAATAAGTGAAAACAAGTGGCTGATTTATTCAAAAACACAGATTCAGGAGCAACAAAACTGTGTTTAGGAGCAAGTCACTGAATTGTTGAATCGTTTATTCAAGAACAAAACAAGCAAATGACTTAAATAATTTTTTCACAGCTCTGATTCATGACAGAAATAAGTGACTACAGCTGAATTCAGAATCACATACTACTCTTACTGTTTCTGCCATATAACTATTTGACAGAATATGCAGTTCTAACTTTAACCTGTCTTTAGCTTTATGAGTTTGAATCATTCACTCTAATGGTTCATTCACAGCTCTAGTTTGTGAATAAAACAAGTGACTTGCTGAATTCCAAACCATGTTCTAACCTACAACTCTTACGATTTCTACCATAGAAAGATAAAATGTGACCCTGGACCACAAAACCAGTCTAAAGTCGCTGGGGTATATTTGTAGCAATAGCCAAAAATACATTATATGGGTCAAAATTATTGATTTTTCTTTTATGCCAAAAATCATTAGGATATTAAGTAAAGATCATGTTCCATGAATATATTTTGTAAATGTCCTACTGTAAATATATTAAAACCAAATTTTTGATTAGTATTATGCATCGCTAAGAACTTCATTTGGACAACTTTAAAGGCGATTTTCTCAGTATTTAGATTTTTTTTGCACCCTCAGATTCCAGATTTTCAAATAGATGTATCTCGGCCAAATATTGATATACAGTATGTCATATCCTAACAAACCATACATCAATGGAAAGCCTATTTATTCAGCTTTCAGATGTTGTCTAAATCTCAATTTCGAAAAATCGACCCTTATGGCTGGTTTTGTGGTCCTGGGTCACAAATAGTAAGAGTAGCATACTAGTATGTGGTTCTGAATTCAGCAAATGTCTTTATGAGTGAGTCATTGAATCATTCACTCAAATGATCTGTTCACAACTCTGATTTACTGAAGAACAATAAGTGACTTTTAGATTCATTCAAATGATTCATTGAAATCTTCGATTAATTTCAGAACAAAACAAGCAGCTGTCTTTACGAGTGACTTGTTGGTCCATTGATTAGATCAAATGGCTGATTCATTCAAGAATGTAACTAATGTGTGTTGCTCTGTGAAAACTAATGATCTTGTTCTTTTTTTATTAACCCATAGACTTTAATTTATGTCACTTCCATGAACTGTAATTTGCTACTCTCTAGTCGGCTGCAGTTGGATTGGCATTCTCAATTTAGAGAGCATTTTTGCTTCAAAAAGCATTTATCTGCTAAAACGTGAGCAGTCACATCTCTCTTCAAATCAGCCATGTCCCTGTAGCACCCTTAACTCTTTAACGGAAAACATACACGTGTCATTGTCCTTCCTATACTCTGAAACATATGTGAGAATCAGTGAGCTAGCGGTAAGGTTTCAGAAAGACTAGTCAGCAGCCGCTGTGCCAGATGGGTTGACTTGATGCCGAGCTTGGATGCCAAGATCTCTGCTGATATACAAGCCTCTATGGTAAACAGGTGGCAAATTTTAGTAATTATTACTGTCATCAGTGCAGTATAGTTCCCTCAAAGACGCTGACTGTAGCATATCAGTGCCTGGGTGTGAATCAATATTTCCTTTAGGCTTAAGGGTTTCTGGGAGAAGTCCATGAAAAAAAAAGTCTCATGAGGAACTAACATCCCTTAATGTTTACATTTATACATTCATCCAAAGTGACTTACAAATGAGGAATGCAACACAAATACAAAAAAAAAAAACTGCTTCTGTAGGATGTGTTCTTGCATTAGAGCAGTTAGATTGAGCACAACAGAACTGAACAGAAGGTGTGCTTATTTATTCTTATTTATTGTTCCTTCTTCTTTGTACCATTTTTTAATCATCTTAAAAACAGGGTACTCGTGGCATAAATGCTACATAAATTATGCATATGGAATGCATTTGCACATTTTGTGTGATTGGCTCCTATGAAATGCTTTCAGTATGTTTTTTTAGTACACCTGATGAGGCAGGACCAACTTTGCTCCATACTGTAGATCCATTAAAAAGGAATGGCTGCTTTCACATTTCTAGTGAATATGAGACTCTTATTAGCATCCACATTACTAGCGTATTGGCTGTTTATTAGTAGATAAAGCAAATATTAATGCCTTATTCTCCACAACCTTCTAGATCCCTTAATCCTAAACTTTACAACTACCTTATTAACTATTAATAAGCAGCAATTTACAAGTTTATTGAGGGAAAACTCTTAGTTAATAGTGAATATGTGTTCCCAAATCTAAAGTGTTACCAGAATCGTTTATGGTTATGGTATCTTTTATTTTTGGTCTGGTTTGAAGCTTGATGGACATGCTTTCTATTGTTATTGTATACCAAGAACTGTGTAAAAATCTACTTTTGCGATCCACAGAAAGGAAGAGAATGAGTAAATAATGCAATGAGCTATTGCTTATACCATTCAAAAATTTGGGGTCAGT